GATACAGCCCGCCACGGGCATCCTGGACGAACAAGTCTGCGACCTTGGCGATCTTCCGCAACCAGTGTAAAGTGAACTTCTGCGTTCAGGAAATCTCTCAAATCGCACAGATATTCGTGTTGTTCCTGGTGCACCTTAATTCGCCGTCACCGCTTTCGTTGATAATCTAGAGGGTCGAGAGGTTCTGATGACGCCTGTTGGTCTCAGACACTAGCCCGTGTCATAGCAACCAAGATTTCGGCTGCACGTGACAGTGGGTCTGCCATGACATCCAGGGCACAGGGCCACCCAGGACTGTCTGAATAACCTTCTTCATCCTGGGTGACAACCAATCCTAAGTGACTGGTCACCATGTGACCCTCAACTGATTTCATTAACTTCTCTTGAATCTTAGATACGTTGACATTCTCCGTCTTCTTGGACACACCAGGATCTTCCGGGTAACAGTGTCTTGGAGGTCAGGTAATCCGCTGCTCGATTGAAATCCCGCTTGACGTGGACTAGTCTCACCGAATCGAACTTTGCTTTCAATGCTTCACAACTGGCCAATCGCCTCTGCAAATTAGGCTGATTACAGGTTATCAGACCCTGTACTTGCTGGATGACAATTCGTGAGTCACCCACAGCGATCAGGTCTTTAACGCCCCTGGCCTGCGCCATGATTAAACCATTCAAGATCCCGCAGTATTCGGCGTCATTCACAGTAACGTCATCCAGGATGAAACCCTGTGCATCCAGGATTTTCCATCCGGGGAGTTCCCATAAAATACATCCACTACTGCCTTGCCTGCTAGACATCTTGGTGGCACCATCAAAGCTTAAAACGAATGTATCTTCCAACATCTCCACGCTAATTATCGGTGGTGGTTTTGCACGCCCCTTGGCAGGAATGAGCTCCTCGGCGCCTTCATCCAGATGCTCCCGAGGTGTGATGCCGGCACCCAGGATGACAGCTAGTCCATCTTCGTCTCGCTGGATCTTCCTCACGTCCAGATTCCACTGCGAAAGTAAAACGCCCCAAGGTACGCATCTCCCGTCTGCCATCTTGGATTTCATGATTCACTTCAGGACGGAGTGTCTAGTATACACGATGATAGAGCAACCCTGAATGAGTGTCTTGAACATCTGTAGTACCCTCAACACGGTGATGACCTCCTTTTCTGCGATGTGGTATCTCAACTTCGCGTCGTGGAGAACACGGTCCGTAAAACGCACTGGCTGGATCAAGCCGTCATGTTCGTGACCCAGGACCGCGCAGGTTTCAAACGCCTGCTTTGCCCTGGATAGATTTTGCCCTGAGCGCACTTGGTCATCCGAGAGTTCATACAGGGAAGCTGTAATCACAGGGTAGTCTTCGAAGAATTTATGATAGTAATTCAGGCTGCCCAAGAAAGATTGCACTCCCTTCATCGTTGTTGGGAACGGTAAATCCTGAACACCCTTAGCGGTCTTTGGTGTTGCCCTGATTCCTTCGGCGCTAATCTCATGCGACAGATACGGAATGGACAATATCCCGAACTCGCCCTTCGGCAGACTCACTGAGGTATTCCAATATAGCAAGACATCCAAGTCAGCACACAATGCATTCCAAGTCGGTGCGCCATTGGCGATATCATCGATATAAGAACTGCGCCCTAAGACAGATGACATCTGCGTTGGAGCAGGGATGTTCCTCTTGAACACTGTCATTTGGTCCGCCAGGGTCGGTATCGACCAAGAAATATGGCCGTCTTCGCAACCGGTACACACTGGAGTACCACACCCTGGAGGTCCATCATCCTGGGGATCCAGATCCAGGTAATCCAAAACTTCTTGGTCTACTTCCGCCTCCTCTTCTGGTGGCAGACGCACGAATCCCCACAGGCAATTGTTGATCACTTGCTCGTAAATCAGGGGTTCATTTTTTAGACCAAACGGCATTCGAATCCACTGGAAATGTCCAAACGGGAATACGAAAGCTGAAATCAACTTGGCTCTTTCGGGCATCTTGATTGCCCAGAAACCGCTGACCATATCCAGGCTCATGAACCAGAGTGCTTTCTCAAAACCAACTAAAAGGTCATCGATGAGAGGTAGCGGATAGCTAGACAGCTGAATGAAATTGTTCACTGGTCGATAGTCAATACACATCCTGATGCCCACCCCATTTTATAAGCACGATCACGATCGGAGATGTTCACTGCGATTCGGAATGTTCAATCCGATTGTTCTCGAGCAATTTTTTGAGGAGTTCGTATACCTTGACTGTCATGTGTGGTCCAATAGACTTTGGGCGCAGTGCGATAGGTTTGGCGTCTCCTACATCATGGTCACATACCACTCCTCCGGCGGGAGCAGGTGCGGCATTTCCACCACCCAGGAAAAGCTTTCTATGGCGCTTCAGGATTGCACGCATCCTAGATTTATCTTCGGGAGAGGTACTCCCACGTCGACCTGATCGATGGCACATTCTGGATGCAATTCACTCAATTCTGGCAGCATGACCAACTGATCCCGCAATTGTGCCAACATCTCGCTTCCTTCATATATGTACATTCCTGGTTCCAAATCCAGTTCTTCCGCGCTAACCCTCATACAACGTTCGTATTACATCTCCAACTTTTGGAATGGTGTGCAGGGCGCTGGTTCTGGTGGGAAGCCTGAAGCGTCCTGTTCAGGTTGTACCTCCGCAAACGTCTCGCCGCCCTGTGGTTCCTCGAATTCCATAGTCCATTCGGGAGGCGTATCCACATTGCTATCACCTCGGTCATCATCCAGGATGTCGCCATCATCATAGCTGTCTAGTTGACCTTCACTGACTTGCGTGGCGACGTCCATCCTGGTTGTCACCGAGGGGGCCTCTTCCGTCTGCGTACCCGCATCCACCAACTCTCCGTGTTTCAACACCTTGAAGTATGAGGGGTCCTGCAACTGAGCCATTCTGACTTCAGCAGATTCTGGTTGGGGTCTCAGCATAATCTTCGTTGGCCATTGGTTTTCCATTTTCGGCACACACGGGGGTTCTGTCCTCGCAGTGTATGTTCCCTCCTTTCAGCCCTGAGTCTGTCCTGTTCTGACTGGGCGTTCTCCAGGATCATGGTCTTCCAGTCATGATAAGCTCGCGTTCCAGGGCGGACGAAGCGCCCGGCCTGCGGAAACGACTCATACTTCATAATCCTGGCTAGCGGTGTTCTCATATCGATCCAGACATTGTGTTTCGACACATTCACAACTTTTATCGCCACTGGCCAGGATCTGGCCTGATACACAATCTTGGTCACAAACCTGTCACTTCGTCCAGCTCAAACGACTTCTCGTTCTGGATATGAATGCCCATACTGAATATGCACTACCGCTTGCTCTCCGGGCATGAGATACACATTCTCTGGAGACGTGACAGGCAAGTCCACGCTCTGGGGTACTTTGATATTTTCATCGTACATCAGGATATACTCTCCGTCTGGGAGTTGCACTAAACCTTCTCGAAGACAGACTCTCCCTCCTGCATGAAACATAAAGTCCATGCCCAGTAGCACATCCAATCCTTCACCAATATTGGCCACCCACAGTTCCATAATGTAGACCACCCTGGATCCCAGGGTTATCTTGACTACCGCACTTGCCGTGATCTGGGTAGGGATACCCCCTAATCCAGACACCTTGAGTTGATTTTGTCGATTGAGCTTGAGCTTGAGCTACGCGCTAAATCCAAGCTAATCATGCTCAATGACGCTCCGGTGTTCAGGCGTATCCGAGTTCTTACGTCATTCACAGCACCATGAGCCGTAGCAATCCTGCGCTTTTCTTTTCCTGACTGGTGAGTAGTCCATCGCCCATAACGTTCTCCACCCCGAAGCTGGAATTCCACAGGGAACTCTGCATAAGTACCTCCTGAATGAAGCAATCCAAAATTGCCTAATCCTAAACTCATGGGATCTTGAAACATAGAAGGCATGCATTGTTGGTTATCT